TAAGATGTATGTTTATTATCAATGAAACAACAGTTATATTAGTTGAAGTTTGATGATCGATACACGTCCATTTACAAGTGTTATGGAACCAGATATAGTAGGAATACCTTAGTGATAAACTATTTTTCTTTGTCATTGAGTGATAGATGTTGAAATATTTGAGAGAATATGACGTTAGATACTATTTCATAGTGAAAACTTTGTAGACACCAAAGTTGAGCAGTTGAAAAACTACTCAGTTGTGAGTAATGTCAATGTGAAGTGAGCAATTTGTAAATCATTTGCACACTGACTATCCTATTTTAGAATATGACTCTTCTAAAGCTTAGAAATATGCCTTTCTAATAATCGATAATGTGCATAGAAACTATCTGATTTCCACCTTCCGGACTGATTAGACGACTAAGATGTTTCACTATTTCTTGAAATACAGGTAATTCACAGTTGTTTTACTGAATCGAATTTTTCGATCTCTGTTAACATATGGATGGATTCCTGTGCAGATACCTCGATATTGTCTGGAATTATATTGTGGTAATTTATTTGGTTGTGGTCATAGCAGAGGAATGCAGCCTGACGCGTGTTTTGTCCTATTTGGGACTCGTCAACTAGATTTACCTGCACTGCAGTGAGTGATGTAATTTTTACTGAGACTCGAGCCTCGTACCCATCAATTCAAACGCCAAAGTGATTTCTAGTAGCTGCTGAGTCACGACGGCCATTACGTGAGCGGTCATTATTATTATTTGTCCCTTGGCTTCCTAATGGAACATAGGGATTCAGTTGCACGCCTCCACTCCACTCTCTTCTCTGTAATATTTTCAACCTGGCTCCAAAACTGCCCACAAGCTCTCATTTCTTCATCACACCATCTCGTCCATGTCCCTCTAGCCTCGGACGCCCAACCCGTTGCTTCCCATCTGGGTTCCACTCTATATTCTGGCCTGATGCGTGATGTCCCCAGTTGGCCTTCTCAGAGCGTGCCCAATCCATCTCCACCTCCTTCCAGTGCATATTTGCTTCGTTGTTTCGTCACCAGCCAGCCAGCCAGCCAGCCAGCCAGCCAGCCAGCCAGCCAGCCAGCCAGCCAGCCAGCCAGCCAGCCAGCCAGCCAGCCAGCCAGCCAGCCAGCCAGCCAGCCAGCCAGCCAGCCAGCCAGCCAGCCAGCCAGCCAGAGTGGATGCTTTCTTGCTTATTTTCATTATTCTCCCCATCTCATCTGATCTTCAGTATCGAGTGAGTGTACGCGACAGCTGTTGATGATGCATGTCTATACTTCTTTTGAAATCCTTTTCGTGACATGCGAAGTCTCTCAACCATCACATGGAAGCACTGACTTGACTGAATTGGTATTGAGAATGCGAATGTTGTTCATGCTTTATGCTGAGTGCAGTGCAGTGCAGTAGATCTCCCCACTGATTTCAGATAAATGAAGGGAGGCCTGTCTTGCTATGTTCCTTATCCTAGCTAGCTTAGACGTCCTCGTCTATGCCACCACCTGTAATTGAAACGATGCTACCTAGATAGGGACTTGATATGATAGTGAGTTAAATTTAACAGTATTTCTGCTTTTACTTCATGATTTAAAAGTCCCCATCAAGTCATAGAACAAAAGACGTTTAGCGAAGAGTTACTGTTTTCAGAGATATCATTCTCAAGCTGTAAAACCGCGTATATATATATATATATATATATATATATATATATATATATATATATATATATATAAAATTCACATTGTAACAGGAATATGAAATATTTTCAATCGGAGTTTAGATATTAATGAAAATCAGATTACAAGGGGAATAAAGTAATGTTTGAAATAGTAATGCGAAGAAGACTTACCATGATCGGACTAATATTTTGTTATGAAGTCAAATGATGTAACATGGTGAATGCAAAGAGAAATTAGAATTATACAAGTGGAGGAATGTAATATATGAGAGGATCTGAATGAAGAGGTTTTTGAAGGTAGAAATGTTCTTGTAGGTTATGTCCATTGCGACTCGAGTGACTGGACAAATTTCTTTTGAACACAGAGTTCAGGCTTCAAAATATTAATTGCCATGGCTTCCACAATTTGAGGCAGTTTTTGGTGTACACCTTTCGTGAGATTTATGCGAACTCTATAGATGACATTTAAGCTGTTTTCTGCACTTATCGGGTGGTCATAATCGATCAGATGTTCTAGAATAGAGCTGTGAACTGTTCTCCTTTCCACATTGTAGAACCAAGCTGGCATGTGTTCAGAAATGCGCTTGGAAAGCGAACACTGAGTACGGCCGATATACCTTACTCCATAGGAGCAGGTGAATTGATAAACACACATCGAGGTGGCCAACGGAACTAGCTTATCCTCTGCACATAATCGAAGCATTGAGTAAGTGGAGAAAGTTAGTCTGAGTTTGGTGGCATAGAACGTCTTTCTCAATGAGGATGTCAGACGGTTCATTAATTTATCTCTTGGTGTGTCTCCACTGAACTGCAAGCTCATGAAAAGAAGCTTGTTAGAAGCCGTGGGGGTGGAATCGTTATTTGCTTTCAATTTCATCGCTAAAGCGATGAAAAGTTTAGGATACTGATTTTCAATCAGATCATTTTCGAAAAATTTAGTCAATGTTCCGAAGTATCCGGACTGCAGATTGTGCGAATCCTATGGCATAAGGAGAGAATTGGATTTCTTTTGGTGCATAGAAGCACCCGACTATGGAAATTCGTGAGTTGTTCATTCCATGTGAATTTTCTGTGGATAGATCATTCGAGTAATTCATTGCCTCATCTTTTTAACTGCGCGTCTAAGAAGGATATCTTAGAATTAAGTTCCTTCTCTAATGTGAATCTGATTGAAGGGTGATAGTTATTAAATTGAGATAGGATATCTTCTAGATTGTCCATACTATTGGAGATGATGAAAGTATCATCTACGTATCGCTTATAAAAATCGAACTGGTTGATTATTCTGCTTGGGTGTGTGTTCTCTAGCTTTGACATGAAGAGATCTGCAAGCAAGGGTCTCAATGGTGAACCTATAGCTATGCCATCTTTTTGTCTACACATTTCATTATTGAAGGAAAATTGAACGTTTAAGGTTCATCTCAACAGCAGCTCCTTCAGATAATGTGTGGGTATCCTAATATTCAATCCATTAGAATCGATATATTCACATATGTAACATATTGTCTCAGTCAAAGGGATACTTGTAAATAATGAGACCATATCTAAAGGAGAACATGATTTTGTCAGAGCAGTTTACACTATCTGTAACATTGACAAAATGAAAGGAGTCGCGAATTGTATGAAGTGAAACTTACTTTCTTATAAGCTCCAAGATTGTGACTAACCACTGGGTAATACTATGGTACAGTGATCCTGTCATATAGAGAATAGGTCATAAATGTCTGCCTTCTTTGTGCACTTTTGGTAGTCCCTACAGTCGGGGGATATTTGACCCAGATGTTCGTAGGGAATTTATGAAAGAACCGGTCATTAATTTTCGGAGAATGTTGGTTAGTTGTTTTGTTCCGTCTTATTCTTCTCACCAATGGGTTTGATAAATTTTGTTTCATCATAGAGGATGGATAACATTTTGTCGATGCATTCTTGGCGATACATCAAGACAACACCAACATTGTTCTTCAATTCTCCAACTTCCTCCCAGTGTTTCTTAGTTAATATAGATTGACTGTTTGGCTTTGTGTTGATAAACTTGTAACAACTGTCGAGGACTGCTGACTTGAAATGTTCCAGTTGCTCATCAAATGTAGGTTTCAAGCCATGAGTTTCATGAATGAGATTTTCAAATTGTATTTGTGTATGCAGTTTGCGGATGCTTGGAAACTTGATATAAAATTTAGGACCGAAGGATAATGCTTCTGCTTGAATTGTCGACAATTTAATATTTGACAAATTGAAAACATGTTTCTCTAGTTTACTTGGAAACTGTCTGCGTTAGATGTGATTGCTTTCAAACTGTTTAATAATTCTTAGTCATATTACACTGTTTCTCTGAAACTTCCATGACATACTCTTGGAAAGATTGGCGTAAACTTGGTTGCAGATTGTGGACTGCATATATTCCGAGGTGAATATTTCGTTCCAGTTCAGTAATGCGTGATTTAATTTCGTCTATATGTTTAAGTGTAGGATGCTTCAGAATCCTTGAGTTTGTCTGAATGTGGTTGTGTCTAAGTGATTTCCAATATACAGCTTGGGATATTCGTGTCGATCTAAGCAGTCTCTTAAAAACTGGATCTTAGTTTTCGCTATCGCCAGCTTCGCGGAAAAACTGAGGAATCCATTCAGCTCCTTTACCATCATGGGGTCCTTGCAGCGTTTCAATTTTCGATATGACAAGATCACTGTACCATAGTATTACCCAGTGGTTAGTCACAATCTTGGAGCTTATAAGAAAGTAAGTTTCACTTCATACAATTCGCGACTTCTTTCATTTTGTCAATGTTACAGATAGTGTAAACTGCTCTGACAAAATCATGTTCTCCTTTAGATATGGTCTCATTATTTACAAGTATCCCTTTGACTGAGACTATATTGATTCTAATGAGACAGTATTTCTGTTTATTCTTTATAAGTTGTTATTTATCGTGGACTGACATCAGTTGGAGGAACGAAGGAGACCTGCGAGCACTGGACAGCTGTTTCATCCTAGTATGGGACCCTTTATAAGGTTAAGTTTATCTGTCAAAATTTTAGTGATACTTAGTATTAAACCTAAACACATGGTATGACATTACTTAGTGAGATTGTTTCTACTGTTGTACGTGCTGACAAATTAAAGCCTATTTGACCAAAATTGTATATGATCCACATTCGTTCAAATCATACAAATAATTTATTTGTAAATTTAATTATATTCATGCATGTGACAGGTTAGGCTGTGTTTTGCAAACTTTTTTATGTCAGTGGCACAGGATATTATATATATATATATATATATATATATATATATATATATATATATATATATATATATATATATATATATAACCTTCAATTTGATAATACAAGTGATAAATGACTGTCATAATGAATCAGTATCATTTACTCATTCTAACTAAAATTATTCTGCTTTCAAGCGCATTGAATTTTGTAAAAGGTAAGACACTACTTATAATCTGATACCATTCAAATCGGTATTTATCATTAGAATTTTCATGTGTTCTGTAATTGAGACTAGATTAATTACGGTTGTTTTTTTTTGGCAGATCAGTTGCATGTATACATAAACGTATATGTAGTTATATGCTGTTTGGGTATTTTATAGTGGAGATGTGAACAATGATACAGATACAACCGGTTCGTAGGTTTTAAAGATAACGAAATAAACATTGAATTCCATCACTAGCCAATTTTAAAATTATCACACTTGTTTACTTGAAATTTCATAGAGTGATACAGTAGTATTTGAAATCACTTTAATGAAGTTGAATAATGTGATAAGAAGATGGAGGTTATCTTAGAAATGTAATATATATTTTGCTCAAAAACATTCGAATAATCTGATCATATATTTGCCTTTTTCATTAAAGGTTGAAGTAGACTGGAGTAAGGTAAAAATGTACAAAGGTGATTTAAATTTTCATATACGTAAGGCTTCAATAAACCTAAGTAAACAGTCCCGATAATTTCTGTATAATCGTCTAGGACTGTTTCAAGGTCAACTCTAAACCTATTTGTATGAAGTGTTTACCTGTAGACAATGACGTCTGTCTATCGTCTGTATTTTTCAAACTCTTCGAATGAGATTGTCTTTCCATTTAACATTATTATGCACCACTATCGACTTCATACTTCAATTGCTCCTCCTAATGTCTTTGTCACTGTACATGCAAGTAAACTGATATACACAAAGGTAGGTGATGTAATCATCTATGTATTGATGATGTTTATTTTGAAGCATAGTCTTCATTTTCTCTATGATACTGTCTAGGCTGACTGTATAGTTAACTTTTTTAATAAGTTAATTAAGCCTTCATCTTCAGATGATCCTGTATGATGACCCTTTATACGATAGTGTAATATGAATACTGCGTAGCTTGCAATATTGAGACATTTTTATACCTTGATAAGTAGATGCATGACCAGATTGTTTAAAATGTATTACGCGAATATATTACATTTCTCAAATAACCTATATCTTCCTATCACATTATTATTTACTTCATAATATCTTCAGCATAAATTATTGTAAGCATACATTTAACTTTATAGTCGTATCAACTCATGCTTTTTGTTGAAGTTGATGAAGTTTTTCACAACTCCAGGACAGATGTTGTGTCATTCCTATTGCATTTGATTGGTGTTGATTTAATGAATAAAAATTGACTAATGAATCCCTCTCTCTCTCTTTCTCTCTCTCCACTTAACTATATTGAGCTTAGTCCCATTCTGTTGTATATGTTGTATATGTGATTGTATACATTACCATAGACGCGTTGTTTACTAAATTATTGATCCTATTTGGGTTAATCATTCCATATTTAGCTAGACCTTTATGACTCTATGGCTTTACAATCATTATGCATTATTCGATATATCAAATTATTTTCTTTAATTAAATTAATAGGATCCTTAAGTCAAGAGAGTTTGTTTCTGAGTGAGTTTAGGTTTCTATGCCACTTTAATTTCATGCTTGTTAGACATTATACAAAAGGTTTCTGATTTCTCTTCTGTAAATGGTAAGACAATAGAAGCCTTAAAAATTTTTTAATTGTACTACCGTTAATATTCATATCACTACTATACTATTTGGTTCCTGATGAGCTATTACGAATTTCTTAAAGAACTCTTGAAGATACTTATTCGTTAGTAGTGTTTCTTTTATGTATTTAAGTCCTTCGATTTACCAGTAAGTTTACCGACTCTGTTATATAAACATTTGACTAAGCCAATTTTAACTGATATTTGACTAGATGATTAGAGGTTTAGATACCTGCTAGAATGTGTCAATTTCCAGTAGACGGTAATATCCAAACCATCATTTGTTCTTCGTTTCCCTTTACAGTTTGACAAATATAACTCTGTTTGTTCATTTTCCAACTCGTAAGAGAACTTGATTGCACGTACTACTGACTTTATGTGCATGGGAAAACATTAACTATGTTCCAGTTTCAACAAGCATCTCATTACTATTTCGTGAGGGCAGGATTAATATTATTATTACTATTATTATTATTATTATTATTATTATTGTTTGTCCCTTGGGTCCCCAATGGAACATAGGGCTTCACTAGCACATCTCCAATGAGCTCTGTTCTCTGAAATCTTTTGAACCTGGCTCCACGACTACCCACAAGCTCTCATTTCTTCCTCACACCATCTCCTCCATGTCACCCTCACCTCAGACACCCGACTCGTCGTTTCCCATCTGGGTTCAACTCGATATCCTGGCCTGACGCGTGATGTCTTCAGTTGGCCTACTCAGTGTATGCCCAATCAATCTCCATCTCCACTTCCTTCCAGTGCATATTTGTTGAGAGATAGGTTCTTGCTTCGTTGGTTCGTCACCAGCCAGCAAGAGTTCCTTGTTGCTGATTCTGGCCATCTCATCTGATCTTCAGTAACGAGCCAGTGTAGGTGGCGGTTGTTGATGAATGTCTGTAGTTTATTGGAAATCCCTTTCGTAACGCGAGAGCACGATTAAATATTCCTAAAATCAGGTGCTCACAAATATCTATAAATATATGTGCTACGATTAGCGATACTGGTGATCCCATTGCTACACCTTCTTTCTGTCTATGCGGTTTTTTTATTAAGATCTGAGAAGTGTGAAGGTCAGACACAAATGTAAACACATGTAATAGAAATGATATAATACCCATCCTGTAGTTGTTGAAAATTTCGTTACCACTACAAAGAAAGAATTCACGGTGATACGACTCTAAGAATCAGATGTCAACAATTGTATGATTATCTTGATATGTTATAAATGTCATCAAGTTGATAATACTGTATTACTGTGTGCTATGTCAAATAAACACATGTAAAATATAATGACGCTCTATGAACCTCAAATAAACTGTATATATGTATCTAAGCCTATGAAAAGACCGTAGTTATGTTCAGTAGGGAGACAAAATTTCATAATATTCACTGTATCGTAATAGGATAACAAAGTGTATGAAGTGTAAAGCATGCTTTTATTTATACAGAGTGGTCTCCAGAGAGTAGCCGTCTAACCCTTACTGATAAACACTGATATAATTCAATCGATTAGGCATGATATCTTTATGCAAACCTCCCTGTTACATGAATCCTAACATTAAACATTAACATACTCTACACTTCATTGGTGCATCACTTAGCTTTTGATTAGATAATAAGCTTGATAGATCAGATTCAAAAACATCACCAAAACAGCGGTGACCAGTTTGTGTACATAACTCTGTCCTACAGACGGTTGTCATGACTTCAACACCCTAGAAACAAAATCACGTGGATATAAAAGAACACGCAAACGTTGAAAAGTCTATCATTCGAGGACGGATCAGGGATGGTATCAAATACAGTACGGTTGATTTGAAAACAAGACAAAAGCATAAATCCATCAGCTCAAGTTTTCACGCTTCTCAGTAGTATACAGAGAACAAGTAGATAGGAAATACTGATATCAAAGCACGTAGAAGTGTATGGCAGAGGAGGGGATCTAAAAATTAAAATAGCTCAAAACATTCAAGCTTTAGAAGACATCGAAAAGTGAATATATCTGCTACATTAAAACTAATTGCTTGCCTTCTCACCATTGAGTCCTCCATCAATGACTCCTATCGTCTCAGGAACCTGGACGAGGCAGTCTACACCTTCCTACATGGCTAGACTTCATGGACTAGTACCACGTTTTAGTCTGATCATCTCAAACCTTCTTCCAACCTAACCCTGGCATATCTTCTCGTAAAACCATCTTAGTGGAATAGGATAATTATCGATTACTTCATTCTACCACTTTATTTCTCAAGATATTTTGTTTGTTTATAATTTCATTTTGTAAACTATCATATTGCAAGAATAATATATACTATTTATGTGTTTTTTTTAGGTGATTGCATTGGTCTTAATGCTGACTGTTCTAAAACTGTATTCGTCCAATGCTGTGATCCTTTGTCATGTGAATTAGATTCACCATTCAATGGGAAGTGTAAATTATGCCTATCAGCTGGATCATTCTGTTGGCGTAGTAGTGAATGTTGTTCAAAAACGTGTAGTTGGTTCAAATGCACAGATCCTGTGAAAGATTTAGTTAAACAAATAACTGGTTAAGAACGGTTACAAATATTTATTAAATACGCTAAATATTCTAATGATAAGATTGTATGAATAATTATTACTAAATGATTGACAGCATATAATTTGATTGGGTTTGAATGTTTTCTTCTTATCAGCATTAATTCGGTTATTATTACCTTAAACAGAATGATAATTACAGCCTAAATTTTGTTTTCTGTATTGCAAAAGATTTTTTATTTTGAGAAAGAGATGTACATTAAAGGTAAAAATATATAATCTTGATTTCTTAAATGTTTATTTTCAACTTTTCATTGTTGTACAGTCTAACTGACTTTACGATTAGTGCTGAAAAGAAGCATGACACACACACACACACACACTAAGGACTATTTCTTTTGTCAGGTGATCCAATTATTCATGAAAAATCAAATTTTTAAGATAAGAAGTTCAGTATGAATACTAGTGAATAGATGACTTCATCCACAATGCTGAAGAATATGATATTAGGTTCACCTAGAAGTTACCTATAAGTTGGAGATAAAGTCTACTATACTCATTCACGTGACAGTGGTTATTACTAACCATTTTTTCTGTACTGTCTATTTCAAGTTGTTATTCATCGTAGACTGACATCAATTAGAGGAACAAAGGAAACCTGGGAGCACTGGACAGCTGTTTCATCCTAGTGTGGGACTCCTCAGCAGTGAGCACCCACGACCCCACCAGCAGGGATCTATTTACTCACCATCCACACAGCTTATCACATTTATTTTCATTCTGTAAACTTTAAAAAATCGAATGATATGTGGTAATTAAATCTTCTAACTGACTAAATGTTCTGTATCTTAAAAAATTAAAATATAATCACGCTACTGTTGAAATCAAAACCTTCCTGTTACATGTAGGACATATTATCCTAAATATGTTGTTGGTGAGGGAATTGACGCTGGACAATTGCCTGTTGCCTAGTAATACAACATTAGATTTAGTAAGGTTTGGTTTGGAGGTAAATGATGAATATCAACTTGAATTGACATCTAGTGTTCACTAATGGCTCGAAGTTCTAATGTGAAGTTGTAATCGGTAAGGAACAAAGGTTAGATATGAGGACAAATACTCAATGATACCATGAGGTGAAAGTCGTACTCTATTGCGAATTGAAAGGATTAGTAAAATTTTTCCATAAGATCATGATCCAGTGGTTCAGTGGTAACGTGTTTATCATAACACCTGAAAGTTCCAGGTTTATCCCTTGTTGGGGGTCGTGAATGCGCACTACTAAGGAGTGCTATGATGAAGCGAAAGAAAACAAAACGAAACCAACTTTGAAACCTTATGCACATTCATACAGTAGACACTGAGCCAGATCTAATGTGTGAGGAGTAATGATACCAGCTGGCTGCCTAAGCCTCGATAAGTGAAATGGGATTTGAACCCATGACCAATAGCAAAAGACCTACCCAGTGCTCCAGGTTTTCAATGGTTCTCCAACTCATGTCAGTTCGTGATAAGTACCAGCTTGATATGGAAATAAATATTTAAATAAATAAATCTTCTATCCATTTGTATGCAATATCACCTGTTCCTTCTGAATTTATGCAGAGTCTTCAAAGAATATAGCATTAAGATTTTCGCAGTGTCATACCTTTTTCTCATCAACAGATACAGTTCAAAGTTGGGATAATTAGTGTACAGCTTCTGCATCGATCTCAGAATGATACTTTGAAAGCTCGTTGATGAGAACTTTCATATAGCTTCTCTTTGAATATAAATTGGAATTGTAGTGTTTGATGACTATGGCCTTAGCAACCTATGTCTGACTTGGTAACCTTTCTAGACTGTTATCTGATTACATCATCTTTTATCATATTTTTATGATTATTATTTTATTATTAGTCCCTTGGGTTCCTAGTGGAACATAGGGCTTCAGTACCACGTCTCCAGTGAACTCTGTTCTCTGAGATCTGTTCAACCTGGTCCCACGACAGCCCACAAGCTCTCATTTCCTCCTCGCACGACCTCCTCCATGTCACCCTCACCACGCATGCCCAACTCGTCGCTTCCCATCTGGGTTCGACTCGAGGGCCTGGCCTGACGCGTGATGTCCCCAGTCGGCCTTCTCAGTGCATGCCCAATCCATCTCCACTTCCTCCTTCATATTTGTTGAGAGATAGGTTCTTGCTTCGTTGGTTCGTTCCCAGAGCTTCTTGTTGCTTATTCTTGTTATCCTGGCCATCTGATATTCAGTAGCGGGCCAGCGTAGGTGGCGGTTGTTGATGAATGTCTTTAGTTTATTGGAAATACCTTTCGTGACGCGCCAAGTCTCTGAACCATACAGAAGCACTGACTTGACTGGATTGGTGTTGAAAATCCGGATCTTGTTCCACATGCTGAGTGCAGTGCAGTAGATCTACACACTAGTTTCAGGCTAATGAATGCCTGTCTTACTTTTCCGATTCTGACTTTGACATCCTCGTCTGTGCCTGTGCCGCCTGTAGTTGAAACATTGCTTCCTAGATAAGTGAAGGAGGTTGCTTCCTTTAAGTTTCTCCCGTTCATGGTGATGGTGACTGGAGTTTGGTGTTGTTGTTGGTGGTGGTGGTGCGGTGCCTTCATCACCTCTTCCTCTGTCTTCTCTATATTCACTTGAAGTCCCGTCTTCGCTGCTTTGCCCAGCCTCTTCTGTCAACTTGTTAGTTTTTGCCTTTTATCATATTTAGAGATTTATTACTCCAGTCTTATAAATTTCCATCATCTTCTGTTCAAATAGACTTTTCAACTAAATGAATTTAATATAGTAGCGGAACTTGAACATTGTGATAGATTGTAATTCCGTTTTTAAGTCTTTGATGTGGTGGAAAACCCCCTGGGGTTTGAAGCGATCGCTCCAGAGTCCGAATCCCGGTGGGAACAATATCGCTCACTGGGAAGCAGGTATATCCAGCTGACGAGTCCTAAATAGGATGAAATGCGCATCGTGGATTCCATTGCTAGCTATGATCCATCATTAATGTAATTAGAACACAGGTAATATCGAGGCATCCGCATAGGAGCTGATATGCCAATAGAGACCGATCAATTCGATCCAATCAACGATGGTATCATATAAAAACAAATATATTAAGTCTTTCTGTTAAAATTGTATCACAGTGAAACGTTAAATGATATTTTTTCACGGTAATTGAACTTAACTCACAGTATTTTTAAGTTTTTGGTTACTACTGTTGCTGATATTTTGGTTATGAAAACTTTCATTGAATTATGTATAAAACGGTGAAGGTTTCTTATCAGCTACTAACCTTCTCTGAGTTAGCCATTATGATTTACCATTTTGGTGATACTATTTCTGTCCATTTTAGTCACTGGCCGATATTCACTTTAATTACAGTAATTCAAGATACGTTAAATTCTAAGTAAAACTATACATTTTGATATTCTAGAGGTTGTTAACAGTTGGTAAGTTACTGTCGTAATAAGTGGATCAATTGTAATTCTTACTCTTTTAAATTCATTAAGGGTCATTTATGCATGGAATTTTTTGAAGTGGTTGGCAAGTGATAATGGATATTGGCCAGTAGTGGAATCCAGGACTCATGTTTCGTCCTATTTGGGACTTGTCAGCTGGGTGTACCTGCCTTCCAGTGAGTGGTGTTGTTCACACTGTACTGCAGTGCAGTGCAGTAAATTTCCACACTGATTTCAGATTAATGCAGGAAGGCCTGTCTTGCTGTCTTTTCGATCCTGGCATTGACATCCTCATCTTTGCTGCCGCTTGTAGTTGAATGGATGCTGCCTAGTTCAGTAGGTGAAAGAGACAACTTCGTTTATATTTCTCATGTTGAAGGTGATTGGAGCTTGTTGTTATTGTTGTTGGTGTTGGTGTTGTTTGAGTATCTTCATCACTTCTGCCTTCTCTACATTCACTTGAAGTCCCTTTTTCGCTGCCCTGCCTTTTTCACCAACTTGTTAGTTTTAGCCTGTACATCGAGTAAGTGCTACAAGTCATTAGACATAAATTATCATCGGTGAAATTCAAACCTTCTTCTAGGCTGTTTTCATCGCATCGGTCAAAAAGCGGACGCCCGTTTCTCACGGCACCTCACATTTTGTTGCATGATCCATTGCAGCATAATAAGGAAGGTCATCGGTGATACTAGGCAACCTTGTCTTACTTCTGCCTACACTTCAAAAGCATCACTGAGCTTTCCGTTGTGAATCACTCGGCATGTGGTGTCTTCATATAATAGTTCAATGAGGTTGTAAAGGTTTGTGGCACTAAAAACTATAGTGTTGCAGCAGTTTCCAAATTACTTGTCGGTTGACGCTGTTGAAGGCCTTTTCAAAGTAGATGAAGTTAAGGTTGAGTTGAGTTGTGTTGAGTTGAGTTGACTGCCATTCTACGCTCTGTTCTATGATGATGCACTGAGTAGGGTTGTAATTCGGTCATCACGTGATTTGTTCTTCCTTAAGCCAGCCAGCCAGCATGTTCGGTGGTGGTCGACTCAAGAGCATTTTGAAGTGATCAGCACACTGTTTCCTTTGTTTCTCCTCTTTGTTAACTAGCTTTCCTTCACTATCTTTCATTGGTTTCGCCTGCGTTCATCTCTTCCCTAACAGATAGTAAGTAACCTGGTTATTTGATATAATGTTGACAGGTCTCTGTCTCTCCTACCAGCAGCCTGTTTCGTAGAAGTGTCTTTTGTCTTTCCACGCATTCTTCTTCACTTCTTTATCCAGAGTAGTGTCTTATAGCTTGTGTTCAGTTACTCTTTTCGTTGTTCGTCCCTGCTCTGCACAGCACTGGTTCATTTTCTCCTTCATCATCTTCCTCTCCCCCCTCTATCACCTTCCATGTACCCGTTGAGTTCCATTCCAGCCCTCGTTTTACCTCTTCTTCCTTCCCAATACAGTTATGCAGGTTTCCTTCCACATAGCCTTCAAAGAGTTTCAGTGTTCTTTCACATAGGTTTCTTCAGGGATGTTGCTCAATATCTCCCATTTTGTTCTGATGGCTGACCACGTGAACATGTGCTTTCTAGTTTCGTCCTTCAGTTCACTTCCTATTCTGGGTGATGAACTTCAACTGTGGTCATCTATCACCAACTACTCCCAAGGCTGTCAACTTGATTTTGTAGGTAGGTTGCTTGCACTGGATAGTGAATTGTATGAACCAGCTACATCTCCTCCCCTCCTTCATCTCATCTTGTGTCCAGTAGACTGGCTGCATCTCCACTTCACTCACATTGAGGTGAAGTCGATCTGATTTTTAGTGGAATGTATCCATCTGGTGAAATTTATGTCGCTCCCCCTGTGAATATCCTTGTGTATCCTTGTACACACCGCCTCGCCTCCAATCACCAAACAACTGAATGCGCATCAGTCTGCAAACAGTTCTCCATTCTCATTCATTTCACCAAGTGCTTCTCCACCCATGATGAGTTGTCTTCGTGTGTTGTCTGCTCTCAGTTTGGCATTCATGTCACCCCACCAACCAGGATGGATTTTGATGTCGCCATCTGGGGTGTGGTCTTGTCTAGTACTGATTGCATTTGTCTATAGAATTCCTCCTTCTTCTCTTCATCTGCATTATTTGTTGGCGTGTAGCACTGAATGATTGTGACTTC